TTAACTGTTTTTATATTTATCTTTTTACCATTTTGTAAGCCATCCAGAGTTACTTTATTGGTGGGAAGAGTGGTCTATAAATTTAAGAAACATATAAATAAAATATTGTGTTCTATCTGATTTATAATTACCAGGTGGGATCCTGGGGGACCAATGCAAATGAAGGCATTGCACATTCGGTACACACACAAAAAAAGGAGGAAATTTAGCCAATTCAGCTCAGTACCTAAAATAATAAAAATCCATATATTCTTCTTTCAATTCTTCAAATGCACCTTACATCTTTTCAACTTGCTGCATTTCTTTTGTCTACAAGGTGGGAAGCTATAACTTAAGAAATTGAGGTCTACTGAAATATCTAATCAGATCATATATTTCAACATATGATTTACCAGGGAAGTACATTTAAATTTTTTTGCCACAGGACTTTAATTGTGTAATACCCTGTCTAATGTAATATGAGAAACCTTGAATTATTTTTGACCTTGTTAAATGGTTATCACTTCAAATTGGCAGTCGTGACTTGTGTGACCAGTTAGACTGCATAGCTCTCATTCTTAAAGAAAAATGTAATCAGGTAACTAAATGTTTTCCTTTGTCAAAGCTGTAAGCAGGCCCAGACATTTTTATTATCAATCAAACAATTACATTGCACCAAGTATACAAGTTGTCTTTCAGCTGTATGGAACCCCCTTTCACTTGCCTGTTGTTTGGGGAAATTTTCAGAGCAAACAACAAGAATGAGATCTATACTGAATAAACGTTGATTTCTGCTGAGCTTGCCAGATTGCAGCTATGCAGTGGTTTCTTCAAAGGAGCATAAGTTTTTCATTAAGTAAGAAAATGACTGTACTTCTCCCGACATATGTTTCTGAGCCCCATCTAGATTTCGTAGATTGACGATCCATTCAGACAATGCAAATTCACGAATAGTTTCTGCTCAAGTGGTCCTACTCTACCCTCTCTAGGGTTCACTCTGATATCAATGAAAGCCCAAAATACAGTACAACTATGTGTATTGCAAAATTCTCCAGCTGACCCTTACCTTTCCATACAATTCCATAGCACTTAAGAGTTCCACACTTATTTGCATCTCCTGAATGGATGTTCTATGGAAATTTGCTGCCATCAAATAATTAACATGTAATCTGCAGTAGTTTTATCTGCATTGAACCCCACTGCAGGTTCGGTGCTGACACCTGGATAGCTTGGTAGATATTTAACGTCTTCTGACAATGTCCACATCATGCTTAGCATTCACTGAAGGAATGCCTGGCTATTTTGTTGGTAACAAGTGTCATTTTAAAGCAGATGTGTAGGCAGATGATGAAGCAATAATTCTCTCCCTCTGTTCTGTCCCAGCCTACATCTGTCTTTGTTGCGTCACAAAAACAAACCCCTCTTTAACAGTAGGCTGGGAAAACCAACCCCTTTTTATTACAAAAACAGTCCTGATAAGTTTGCTCAAAAACAAAAACAACAGAATACTTTTTCAACAGATAATTGGTTAAAAAATCAGACAGAGCAGGAGTTTAAACAAAACATTCATCGGTAAAACAAACAGACCATGATCCCTGGAAGTTTTTACAAACGGTTGCCTTCAGCAACCAGCACCACCCACACCTCCTCTTTTTATACAGCCGTTCCAAGGCGTTGCCTCTCAGTGCCTTCTCCGTTTTCTCTGGAGTTCTCCCATTGACTGCTGTTGATTTACCCTTGCTAATTGCCTGTGCGCGCGAGCATCAATTAGCAAGTCCATCAGGTGTGCGTAGTCTGAGTCTGACTCAGTCCCCTCACACAGCTGAGCTTCATCAGGAACACGACTGGAGGGCTCTTCATCAAGCCGTGAGTCTTGTAATTCATCAGAGCCTCCTCTGACCCTGATGGCCCTTCCAATGCCTTCTCCACCTCCTCCTCAGATTCCTCAGACTCAGCTATTGGGAACACAGGCTGGCACGGAATCACGACACCCTCCGCCTTCCCCCACATTTACTGTATGCATTAATTGTAAAAGTTGATCCCTTCTAAAAGCACAGCAATGGCTTATATTTTAATTCTGATCATTTGCACTTGTTCACTGCATGTTACCAATGACAGGTGTTTTCATACAAGGTATTTCTATTCAATTTTTCATTGTAATGTATTTTGATTACGGTAGTTTATTAGATTGAGTTTGGTTTATTAATGCAGTTTTTAAAATAATTACACATGTATTTTTCCCAGAAATATTTGTTATGCAAAGTATTTTGTCTCTGCAGTCCTTCACTTAAAGCCGTTTTCTTGATATGCTACATCAGGGGTAGTCAACCTTGGCTCTTTTATGACTCGTGGATTTCAATTCCCAGAATTCCTTAGCCAGCTTAGCTGGCTCAGGAATTCTGGGAGTTGAAGTCCACGAGTCATAAAACAGCCAAGGTTGACTACCCCTGTGCTACATCATTGAATGTTTCTTCTTGTATCATATAATATTAAGCATGAAAGATAGACATTGAGGGTAACTATTCCACATTTATGTTTTTGAAATGTTGTGAGGAATTATTTATGATGTTATGGAGGCTGCTGCTGTGATATTCCCAAATGCTTGGTTCTTGAATCATTCTGGTTAATTTTTCCAATCTTTTTCCACAAAGCCTCCAGAAACTGAGACAGGAATTGACAATAGTACTTAGCTGGCATGGCATTGAGAAATATAACTAGATATCACCCACATATTGATAATAACAGACTTCAACAGTTTAACTCACCCTATGGTTTCATGTAAAGAGGAAGGGAAGGAATGTCAAACCCTGAGGCACCCCACAGGAGAGAGGCTGTGGGTATGACACCTTTTCCACATCAACATGATTGGAACCAACTGCTGAGAGCCACTGCAACACAGTGCCACCAACTCCTAAAATCCACAGTATCAGAAAGATACTGTAATTAATGGTATTAAAAGCCATAGAGAGATTAAGGTGCACCAGAATAGAGCACCATCCTCATCCCAGGTTATTCAGAAGTCATCAGGAAGTACAACTAATGCTGTGTCCATACTGAATTTCAGATGAAATGGGTCAAGACAATCAGCTTTTTCCAGGTTCCTCTGTTACCTTTATCATATTGGTTCCTTGCCTAATACAGATAGTCCTCAGTAAACAATTAGGATCGGAATTGCCAACACTGTGACATTGTTAAGCAAATCACCAAAGGTCATCATCTGACCACATTCCCTAAAAAGAGAAAGTTGGACAGTTGTCCAAAATTGTCAGGCTTGAGACTGGCTCCTTAAGAAGGGAGAACACCACTTATTCCCTCAAATAATCAGATTCCACTGCCTGGGCCCAAATATAGGTCACCTCCCAGCTACTGAATGTTCCCTTGAGAATACATACTTACTAGAATCCTAATGTAGAATTTGACCTGACTTTGCATCATGATGTTGCATGCTTTGTTAAATAGTGACATATGCCACATATTACAGTTGTTGTTTTTCATAACTTGTTAAGCCTTAATCCATGGTTTACAAATCATGATAGCTAGGTTCATGACTAGCAAATTGGTTTGCTAACACAAATCACAAAGTGATGCACAACAATGCAGTTTCTGTTTCAAATGCAGTGTGAGATAATGAATTGTTATTTTACCAATACCAGTACAGTAATGATCTGAAATTTTCCCATCATTAAAAGTTCATTTGCTTAGTTCACTGATTGAAAAGTTCCTAAACCAGATCTGATCAGCTCCACCAGCCAAGACTTTCCTAGGATTTTATTTTAATCTAATTTATACAAGAAAATAATTATCAGAAAAGGGGAAAATGCAAAATCCCGGACATTATTTTCCCTGTTTAAGAAATACAATAAAATACTTAGCATGTTTTTTAAAAAATACAGTTGACACTTTGGGATTGTGTATATATAATGTAATTGTGTGTTCTTTTTTGGGGGGTACAGGTACAGGGTACACCTGCTTTTTAATCACACATTCCTGCTAGCTGTAGGAGTTTTAGGATGGAGAGATATGATTTATAATAATAAAAAAGGGATAGCTAGAATTAAGAGTTGGAAAATCTGAACTGGAGGGAGCCAGCTTCTAAAGTCTTCAGAATGAAACTGATCTCAAAACAAATGATCCAGAAACACCCAGAAATGTTAATTCTGCCCTGCCTGGGCTAGCATCCAGCTTGGAATACTCATGAATCTCATACCAGAAACTTTTTCTCAGTTTCACCTAAGAAATTAGCTCCTCCTGTCTCAAATATCTGAATTTTGCAATAGCTGTCTGAGATAAGTTTAATACATTAAACTTTATTTTGGCTATGTGCATAGGTTGGACCAGTTGTAAGGCATTGGGGCATGAACCCAAAATTCCAACTTAAATTTAAGTGTGTGAAAATCAATAGTATCTGCAAATGAGCCTCTTTATAGGGATATTTTTCTTTCACAGTTTTAATTCTAACTTCTGTGGACTGCATCCCGTGTTTAAGAGATTCCTAACGAGGTGTATGTAACTGCACTAACAGGCCTATCGTCTCTATCACAGTTTAGTTTTTTCATTTTGCCCGTTTGAATTTGTAGTTTTTGTTTGACGAATAAATAAAATAAATAGGCCAGAGCAAGTATTCATAAATCAGTCTACTTCAATGTAATGTCTCTAAACCTTTGGAATTCTTTCTCTATAATTTTTGCAAATAGGGGAATAGTGCCTAGAAATGGTTAAATTAAAGTTCAATAGTTCTATAAAGTAAACAATTTTGAAAAATTGTTGTAAGTTTTATGGATTTATTTTACTTTAGATGTTCTTAGTTTAGTAAGATTTTTCTTATGGGCTTTGGGTTGCCTTGGCTTGTTCCTTCTCTGCCATTGTTGCCATAAAGCCAATAGGATCCTTGTCAGGTTCAACAATGATTTGAACTGTGAGGTTAAGAGATTATGATATTTAATCTGTAAATTAAATGTGTAACACATTTAATCTAGAAATGTGTTACGCAACAGGATAAATATTTTTATGTTATTTTTCAGAATTTGCAGAAAGTAGAAATTCATATTGGAGGCTGTCTTGTGAACAACTATTACATCTACAAGAAGTAGCATAATTCTTATCCTATTACAGACTCAGCCACTGAATCTACAATGTCCAGTATAGATCCATTTCAGCAGATTATGGTAAGTAGATAATTTTTTTATTTTGATTGCCCAAAATAATTATTTTAAATATGGCAACAGTATCGGGTCCTGCATGATCGTATAGGAATCATTTAAAATAAGAAATAAAACTGAAAAGCACTGAGTTAAAGTAAATAGCTCAAATTGACTGCTTGAAGGCTAGAAATTCTATAAAAAAGAAAGTGTACTAACTGGACTATGGAATTGATTCTGTAGGAAATTAAAATATTTAGATATCCAAGCATTCCAGGGTCCTGGAACAAGTTCTTGCCATTTACACTGCAGAGATGCTCCAACTCCTAACAAAATATATCTTATATTTGTTTAGGGAGCTAGCAAATCATTTTATTTATTTCAGAAAGAATCAAAGTAGATTAAGTTATTGGGGTTCATTTGAAATAGTTAACTGTGATTCAATTCAGATTTCACATTTTTTCAGTCTACAAGCTGTCTTTGGGAGATCAGGAACATGGCAACCTTTTCTAGTTCCCCATTTCCTCTGTCTTCCCTCAGAACAAGCTTTTTTATTCCCTTCCATGGTTTGCTATGGTTATTTGAATCAGGCATTTGTCAAGAAGTCCCAAGTAATCCTGAATCCTGATTGCTTATTTATTTATTTGTGAGTTTGCAGCCAATATTGTTTAAACTGACCCAAACTGACAGCAAGCTGTGCTTGCAGCAAATCACTAAAAAGAGCCATGCTAGAGAGAGAAGGAAGCTGCAAAAGAAATACCTTGATTGAACTTTCAATTCCTTATGCATCCTTTATATCTGATGATTGTAACCTTTTCCACAAGCTTACAGTCATTATATTCTTTTAAGTGCAACAGCAGCTGATGCTTACAAAACAGCATGGCTAATCTACTTTGACTATACTTTCACTGGGTTAATGTTACCCAGAACTGCTTCTACCTATTTCACTCAGTTCTAGTAAAAGAAAATTCTTCTGGTTAGTAAATTAAGTAATCAACATTCATAAATTGTATATCTTTGACTATGCATATGAAGGGCCATATTGTAGAAGAAAGTCATCTTTTCGCACCGCGTTCCAGAATGTTAGAATATTTAGCAGACTAGCAATTAGCAAAACTTGTAAATCCAATTTGAGCTCTCCACCAAACTGCTATCTTGCTCCATGTATGCCTGGAGCTCTCCATGCTGTAATAGAGAATGTGTCAGTTCCCATTATATAAGACAGAGAATTTTTTTAAAACAACAACAACAACAACAACAACTAGGTTGCCTACCAGATTAACTTTCTGCATCTTTGTGTTATTTGCTTTGGGCTCAGAGAGAAAGAGAAATTAGATATTAATTAAAATAATCAAGATGTACAGTATGTCCTAGCAGTGGTTTTATTCTTAACTTGAAAGACTTCAATTTTTTTCTCATTATATTTGTAAAGAAGCACCTTCCACCGAGGTTTTGCAAATGCAAACTTAAAATTCAGGTGATTATCCTGTTGCATTTTTGTTTCTGAAATTATAATTTCTGCAAAATAACTCTTTATTACTTTTAAGTTGTCGAAATACAATAAAAGGCATGTAGTTCTCATAAAATAAGCAACACTAAAGCATTAAGCATATGAAAACATCAATATATATCTACAAGAAACTCCACTGTGTACATGCAAGAAAGAAGAAAAATCCCTTCCAGATCTTTGGACAGTTTCTATCAATTGCATTCACTAGAACAGTGATGGCGAACCTTTTAGAGACCGAGTGCCCAAACTGCAACCCAACACCCACTTATGCATCGTCGGGTGCCGGGTGGGTGTGGCCCATTGGGTGGGCGTGGCTGCAGTGGTAACGGCAGACTGGGTGGGACTAAAAAGTTCAATCAATCAATTCCAACTTTGCAAGATCTTTTTTTTTCCCGTGAGAAGTTGAAATTGACTGATTGATTGAACGTTTTTTTTTTGCACACGGCGGCGGAGGCCTAAAGTGAAAAGGTTTTATGAAACCCAGCTGAAGGCCTAGGACTGGGGCGATGGCGCGCGTGCCCACAGAGAGGGCTCTGAGTGCCGCCTCTGGCACCCGTGCCATAGGTTCGCCACCACTGCACTAGAATAATTGCAAAGGAATTGAAAGAGTTGTAGTTCCAGATAGCTGAAGATTACTAGGTTCCCTATCTTGCTGGACATCATTAATATTTCATTCTGGTCAATTTTGTCTCACTTCTTTATCCATTATTCTTTATTTGCTCAGTTTTGCACAATTATTTGTATCTCTTGAAAGTTGGTGCTGTACTTGTCCCTTCCTGGTTCATTGTATTTATTTTGTTTTTTAATGTATAATTTAGTTTGGATGTATTTTGGAATACATATAGCTCTTACTTACCAACCACAATTGGGGCTGGCAGTTGTAACCATGACTGGCTTATGACCGGCTCACTTCAAATTTGGTTATTAGGCAAATCTCTGTGGTTAATAAGTGCAATTTTGTTTCTGAGTTCCCCTTAACTCTGCTTGTCAGAAACTACAGTAGTTGTGAAGCACATAAATAGTGACTGTGGGACATTGTGACAGTTATAAATGCATACCAGTTGCAAAGCACTGAAATGGCAATCATGAGACCATGGGATTCTGTAACGGTTGTAAATGCAAGGATTTTTTTTATACTGTTGTAATCTTGAATGTCATTAAAAAAAGCAGTTGGTAAGCGAGGGCTAATTGTAAACACAGATCAGGCAGAAATACATGCACTAAGAACTAGTTGGTCTTGTTTGCGGTCCTTTGATAGCACACTTGGTCCTAATATTAGTAGTAATGATGATCACCAGCTCAATCTTCTGTGATAAGGAGTTTTAAAATCAGGAGTTCACCACAAATTATCTTGTATTGGTAGTTCCTTTCAGCAGTTCATATCAGTGGGGCTTTCTGAGTAATCTCTGAAAAAAACAAACTTTTTTGTTAAAAAAGTACACATTTAATAACTTTACCTTGAATATTTATTAGTGTGTCTAGTTCTTTAATCCGTGGCAGCAAGTGAAACACCTATTAGGTAAACTGGATGAATCATTTTTAATGTGATAGCATTTGTTTTCAGTATCTGTGAATTAGTGTTTTGGCTGCTTAACTTTATACATTTAGGAAGCAACTCAACAGTTACTGTAAAAATTATCGCATGCTCTCAAATGCGCAGGTTTTCTACATAAATTCCATATTCCTGTAACTGTGGTCAGACAAAAAAAATTAAGCTTGTGTTGTATCCATATCCTTTGCAAATAGTTGGCAAAACAAGCAAAAAGGCCACCAAATCCATCATAATGTTTTTCTAAAAATATCCTTCACTTTCTCGGAATTTTCTTTTATTGTAATGTGGGTTTGACTCTTATGGCAGTCATATCCTTCTGAGATAAGTAACAATTCTGAAAAAGCAATTCACTAGCAAATTGATGCAATAAGGGTTTTTTTTTTCTCTCCCCCTTTTTTATTTGAGATTTGAGTTAGAGGGGCAAAAGGAATGGAAGTGGAATATTGCAAGTTGTGATGAATAAAATAATAGTCACATTGTTCAAGGATGACATAAGCTCTGAGTGCCATCTTCTGGATAAAGGATTCAAGTCATAAATATAACAATATGGGTTTTCCTCACTTTATGCAAATTTGCTATTATGCAAGTGATCATTTTCTTCCAAGAATTAAGTTTAAAAATAATTTGCCATTCTATGATTTGTTTTAAAATCATGCCAGGACTTTTCATCACCAAATCTATTTCAACATTTTCCTGCCAAAATATTTTTTCTGTCTTCACACATGCTGTGAGGTGGTTATAGCTTCCTTCGTTCCTTCCTTCCTTCCTTCCTTCCTTCCTTCCTTCCTTCCTTCCTTCCTTCCTTCCTTCCTTCCTTCCTTCCTTCCTTCCTTCCTTCCTTCCTTCCTTCCTTCCTTCAACTTCTTAACCACCTATCTCCAGTGGTGGGATTCAAATACCTGAACAACTGGTTCTCTGCATGGAGACCACTTCTGGAAGTCCGTTCTGAGCTGGGAAGGCCTCCCAGGCCCAGAACAGGCTTCCGGAAGTGGCCTCCATGCACTTCTTGAGGTCCGTTCTGGGCCTTGCAAAAAAGGGCTAGAGCATCAGCCGGTTCACTGAAGTCAACAAAAACATTAGCTGGAATCATGCTGCTGAGCAGATTAATGCAGTATAGTTTAAAAGAAAGTGATTCTTTTCCCCCCTGAGCAATCCAATAATGTTTTCCTTTGCATTTCTTTGGAGTCTATCAGCAATCCCTTAAGCGATTGCATTGTTAGGATCTGCTCTGACTGTTATCATCAACCAAGATAGCAAGATCTTACATGATTTTTTTTTATTGCATGGATTTGGTCCTGTCATTCAAAATCCAAACAGCCAACAGAGAGATATTTTTTTTCTCTTTGTTCTTGTCCATATTAATCTTGCCCATGGCTGTTCTTAGGAAGAAAATTGCCAAATTCTGTTTGATTCTATCAACAATATTCTAGTCTGAGGAGGGCAGAAGGATCAGGGCTGTTATATATCTCAGCCCGCACACCCTTTCATCCTCAGTCATTCAGCTTTACTAGCTGTTGCAACAGTTGACATTTTTGCATTACAGTCATATCAGTTCATTTCCAACTACAGTTCAAAATGCTGGTGCAAGCCTTGTAACTCTACAGTTCCAAGTAGTGGAATGAATGTCACTTTTCATAGCAGTATAAGTCAGAAAAATTTGCCCCTCATAACCACTAGCACAGTGGTTCTCAACCTTTTTAATGCCGCGACCCCCAACCGGTCGTAAGTCAGGGACTAAACCGGTCGTAAGTCGAGGACTAAACCGGTCGTAAGTCGAGGACTACCCAACCGGTCGTAAGTCGAGGACTTTCCCTGCCTGGGAGCGCCGCACATGCGTGGTTCCGCCCCCTGCGCTGGCCGAGGTGTAGCTGGCAAGCGGCAGAGACGGAGCAGGCCAACCACCAGCTGGCCCAGCTCAAGGGAGGTAAGGCACCCGCCGGAAAAGGGGGAAAAAATGGCGAACAGCCTTGCTTGGTGACCCCCGTGAAATGGTCGATCGACCCCAAATGGGGTCGCGACCCATAGGTTGAGAACCGCTGCAGCAAGAGGTAAGCATGACAGTGTTTGTAAAGGTCCTGCTAGTAGTGATGGTCAGGAATAAATCTTTCTGACTTACAGACCTCATTCATGAAATGTTCTTTCCAGAATAGGCTGCTTGGCGCCAATTTGATTATCTTTTTCAATACCATTGAAACATTAAATCAGGGGTCTTCAAACTTGGCCCTTTTATGACTTGTGGACTTCAACTCCCAGAATTCCTCAGCCAGGCACGCTGGCTGAGGAATTCTGGGAGTTGAAGTCCACAAGTCATAAAAGAGCCAAGTTTGAAGACCCCTGCATTAAATGAAGGGTTTTTTTTTAATTATGGAGTTACATTTTTTTGAATTATCAAATTATTACATTTTTTGTGTTTACTTTTTTGTGCACATAAAAGCTATTTGGAATATATCAATATAACATAAAAACTGTTTTGAGTATATCAGTGCAATGATATCAGAATTAATATGGCTGTATAATGCAACTATAACAAATAGTAAATTGTATGATTAAAAATATTTAAATTAATAACAGATTGCCTGGTCATTTTTCAGTTTGCAAACATTGACAGATTGCTGTATGTCTCTTGAAGCAGAACACGCTTCCTATATTTTCTTCTATATTTTGGTCTCCCCAGATATATTGTAAAAATACTTGTTATGCAGGCAATAATAGGAGTTATGCTTTAATTCATTTGGGAGATATAAGATGGAGAAGGTTGCTTTCTTGCTTTGCCTGGAAATGACAAGTTTCACTTGATTGAGGCAAAGGCAAACTCTTCCTTTGCATCTTTCCCTAAAGCCGACTGTCTGGGTACAGATAGGTGATTCTTCCTTCTTAATCTATACATTGCCTGCAAAGGCTTTTGAAATTTGGCAGACAGTAAAGGATATTAGGGTGAATATCTTAGAATATATCTACAATCTTCTGTGCCCCATCAGCTTGGACTGATTGATGGACAAGGGTTTTTTGGGCACAGGACATGCTATTGAAAAAGTTACCCAAAGCTGCAAAGTTTAAAAAATCACTGCTGTAAGTCCATATACCCCTGAATACAGATCTTTTTGTATATTTGTGGGTTGCATTCTATGATACTTAGGCATTGTAAAAAAATTGTATTTAATCAGTTTAATTTAATAAAAAATATTTTCCTATGCGAGGAATGTGCCTGCAAATGAAACTAAAAGACTGCAAATGTATCTAAAAGACTCTTGTAAAATCAGTACTGTGTCTACTTCTATGCAGTGCTCTTGCTGACTAATGACATATTTGAACAGTACCTGTGCTTGAAGGGGAGGAGAGTTAATATGATGAAACTCAAACTCAAATACAAAGAGGAAGAAAAGAACCACAAATGAATAGGAGTGGTAGCAGTCAGCTGTGCTCAGTGTAACCTATTGATCTGAATTTTCAGTAAAGCTAAAGAGAAAATAACCTTATAATACACAATGCTGTGTGTTCCGGTGTGTACTTAATTTTCGTTGGGGGAGGAAAGGGGAACTGTAGGTTAGCTGAAAACTCGTTAAAGAGCTGTTACTTTTCTATTGGGTATAATTCTTTTGCTTCCTAATCAGTTGTTTTTTGACATTTAGGTGGAACATCAGTATTCACACAAATTCATTGTGACGGTTAAGCAAGCTAAAAATGTCACCAAAGGGGCTTTTGGAGATATGCGTAAGTATCACTGTAGTGTTATTTGTATTGCATTATTCAATTCTTATCACATGAAAGACTTTAGAGAGGTATGTTCTTCAGGTATGACTGATTTTCAGATTAATTTTTGCTGCTTCAAAGATTTGAAATGTAACACGCATGTGCTATATTAAATAAATAAATCCACTGCAGATTTGATACCAAATCATTTTAGAGCTTTATGGTTGGAGATTCTTAGGGATACAAACGTACAATGCCTTTGCAGAACTGATAACACCTTTTTTCTTCCAGGCTTTCCAGATAAGGAAAAGTCTAGATAGAGGTTGAAGGAACTATGGAGTGGGTAATTTTGTCACTGACAACTCTGATCTTTAATGACCCTGAAATGTTTTATCTGGAATCTCCCCTTTGGGGTTTTCAGAGAAGATTATTCTACAGTTTAGAACTTTTTTTACTGGTTTTGTCTCTTAGAAACAGGAATATTACAAGTAGTGTTTTCATGAAAGACCACTTCACTTTCGAATTCAAGAGTCCATAAACCATAAAACACAGTAATATGAAATGGGCAATGGGTGGATTCTGACAACTTTTTTGAAGCAGGGGGGAGAGGAAAGTCACTTTTGGTAGATGACAGTTGTGCTCTATTTTTGTAAAAATGGCTTGTAAATGTTGTGCAGATTATCAACACTACCATCTTTTTTCTTAAAATGGTCATGTGCCCATGCAATGCGTTGCATGTTCAGTTGATTATTAAGGAGAAAGATGGTGGTAGAAGCCCGCTCTGACGTCATCCTGAGTGCAGGTGAATCCTTTTCATACAGTTTCAATGGGGAATGTTGACCAATGAGTTCTGTTTAGTTACACAGTTGACCTCTTCAGTCTTTTTAAGATGATCATTCAACCACACATTCCTCTGCTATGATACAAAGATTTAAAGATGTAATAAGATATCAGTGATACTACATTTTTTATTCATGAATAGCTGGACTAAAATCCAGAATTTCCTAATTTGCTATGTGGCAGATTAGGTATTCCAAAGAATTCATGATATGAATGCTCTAGTTATCAGAGTTTTTTTTAAAAAAAAATAAATTAAAATGAAAACTGTTTAGAACAAATTCTATGCACTACTTTGTCTGAAATTTACAGTAAACTTCCCATGAAGAAAGGATTAGATTCTTCTAATTATTTCCAATTCTATCACATTATAAAAATTGTTTTAGCCATTTCTTTATGTCAGATTATGATCAGTGGAAGATTTGGAATTCTAAGCTGAAAATCACATTCAGGAGCTTGTTACATCCAGTTTGTGACAGCTGACAATAAAAATCAGTTCCAGTAAAGCCCCAATTACAAGAATATAAATACATTTGCAAAAATGCCATCAAAAATCCCTAAATTTATTTATTTATAAATAACAATGTCAAATAATACAACTTCAGAAGGACAAAATCAAAACATTCACCAAATAAGAATCATAACAGGGAAAGCTAGAATATAAAAACAGTTTTCACATAACTGAAGATGAACATAATCCAAATGCCATTAAAGATGATCTGAGCTCCCGATTCAGCATCCAGATTTCATTGCTGCCAAGAAAACTACATCAACATTTTCATATAAGCAGGAGCAGTCAAGTACCATTCAAGGGACTTTTATATTGTTTTTCAGTGTTTCTCATATATATGGCTTCCTTTTGAGGAGCTGCATTAAAATAAGAAAGAATATAATAGCAGTGCAATCTATGTTGCAATTGTTTATAGGAAAATATTCAGTTGAGTTATGGTAAAAAAAAAATTCCCTGTGAACATTGATAATGTTTTGGATTGATCCTTTTTGCTGGTGGCACAGTGGTTAGAATGCAGTACAGACTCAATGTTGACTCAGCCTTCCATCCTTCCAAGGTCGGTAAAATGTAGACCCAGATTGTTGGGGGCAATAGGCTGACTCTGTAAACCGCTTAGAGAGGGCTGTATAGCACTGTGAAGCGGTATATAAGTCTAAGTGCTATTGCTATCTATCATTTGATTTATGTTTCTGGTTTTAGGACAAGTTACCTAAACAGCTGCCTTTTCTTTTTCTTTTCCTTCAGTTTGATATAATGGTTAAGATGCTGGCATAGAAACAGAAGACTGTGAGTTGTAGCCCTGCCTTAGCCATGAAATCTAGCTGGGTGACTTGGGGTCACTTTCTCTCAGCCTCAACAAACTTCACAGGTTTGTTGTTGTGGGTAAAATAGGAAGAAGGAGTACTATATATGTTCACCACCTTGAGTTACCTAATAAGTAATAAAGGTGGAACAAAAATCTAATAAATAAAAAATAAATAATTTCTCCTGATTTTCCCCCCCAAATTTTGTCTGCAAAAAATACATTCAACTAAAACACATTTCGTCACTCAGAATACTTCTTTGTTTTTTCCTCTTATTGCCTCACTTTCATTAAGCCCATAGTAGAGTTCCTCTACTATTTAATAACAGAACTGAGAATTCTTCAGTTCTGTTATTAACAAATAGTCTTAATCCCTGCTGCAGTTAGCAATTAAACTAGAATATTATTTAGGAGCTTAATTAGAAGATTTTATTAATCCCTTTTTGTTTTTCAAAAATACACATTTAGATCTAACCTAACAAATTTGAATGTTAGTAATTGTAAAAGAAGTGTTGTTTGTACTGAATCTGGAAACTATGGATACTGAAACAGTCTATTAAAACATGTATTTTCCAGTCAACCAGTCAACAAGCCATCAATCTTTATACCAGAGGCCCCCAACCTTTTGGGCACCAGGGACTGGTTCTGTGGAGAAAGATTTTTCTGCGGACCAGAGGGGGTGTGGTTTCGTGTGCTGTCTGCATACAGCGGATGGGCTTCACTTGTTTGCATGGTCTGGTTGCTGGTATGCTGCGGCCCAGTGCCGGGCCACGGACCGGGGGTTGGGGACCCCTGTTTTATACAGCTTGTTGAAACTGATTACATCGCACTTTCTCAAGGGCTAAGGTTGCAAAATTAACTAGAGATCAGAATTTGATTGCAATGATACCTTTAAGTATGTTTAATTGCAGTCTTCTACCCCAGTATATTTTTTAGTCATACCTTTTAATTATTATATGTGTAAAATAAAATTTAAAAAGACATCTGATTTAAAAGCAGAATAGCTTTATGATAGTGGAACTCAACCAGCCAAATAAAGATAAGGTCCAATTTTATTATGTACTCATCTAAAAACATGAATATGCTCCACTGTTCAAGCTTTGAGCAAGCAGGCATCGGCAAGCATCAGCATTCATAAGGAGATGTCCACATAGAAAAGGGAAAAAAAACAACGTCTGCTTTATAAAATCACCACACTGAAAATTATTTAAAATGTATTAAATCTATTAAAACTTTCTTATTCCTAGAATATTCTTTTGACTTTTGATGATGTATATTGCTGGTCACTCTTCTGGAGAAATTTTCATACTGGAAGTTAAGAAACTTTGTATGGGACAGGAAGCTAATAAAAAAGACTTTATTCTGCTACATCACAATCTGTGCCATGATCATAGCATCTTATTACAGCCTGCTTTCCCTGCGTTATTCTCACCTGCTGCCACTTCAATCTCCAGCACAATCTCTTCCCAGTTGAGCATTACCTGTACTAAATATCCAGGAAATCTGCCAACACTCAGGGGAAAAGTTGGAGTCCTTTACACTGTAGTTGCTCATACTTTCTTCTTCCTGCAAGCAGAGATGACCGCAAAACATGAATGTTCTTTCAGATAGCTCTTACTCCAAAGTTTTTAGGGAGTGAATCTTTTGATCCAGATGACATCATTGGGATGAAAATGTCTTGTCTTGATTCACAATTTTCTATGCCTGGGACTAGCTTTTTTTTAGAGATGATGAAAGCTGTTCATACCTTGTGGGTAGTAAAAGACTTAACTATAAAACAAGCTTCTTATTCAGATATAGGATGAAAATACCCATACACTGACTAACATTAATGAGACTATCAAGTGACTTCATACACAGGTATTCAAAGTGGCTACATATGTCTGTAAAGTCCTGTATTGGAATTTCCCACATGATGATCTCCTGACAGTCTTAAGTTGAGAGCAGATGCATATACAGGTAGTCCTCGACTTACGACCACAATTGAGCCCTACAAATTCTGTTGTTAAGTGAGACATTTGTTAAGTGAGTTTTACCCCATTTTATGTCCTTTCTTGCCACAGTTAAGTGAATCACTGCAGTTGATAAGTTAGTAACCTGGTTGTTAAGTGAATCTGTCTTCCCCATTGGCTTTGCTTGTCAGAAGCTCTCAAAAGATGATTGCATGATCCTGGAACACAGCAAAGGTCATAAATATGAACCAGTTGCCAAGCATCTGAATTTTGATCATGTGATCATGGCATGCTGCAAAGGTCATAACTATGAAAAACGGTCATAAGTCACATTTTTCAGAGCCTTTGTAACTTTGAACGGTCACTAAATGAACTGTTGTAAGTTGAGAACTACGTGTACTTGCCTACATAAGAGATAGGTCATTGTTTCACACTGCCATATAAATACTTTGAGTAGCATAAGACTATAATTAGCATGCTTGCTCTTGGGCAGTATTTTAGCTAAACTTTGACTGCTGGTATATGCATGAATGTCTGTACTCTTTCTCTTTACATAAGGGTGATGTGATGGCTCAGCAGTTAAGACACTTAGCTTGTCAGCTGGAAAGCTGAAAACTCAGTTTCGAGACCCAAGTGCCACAGGACGGGATGAGCTCCCATCCTCATTCCAGCTCCTGCTAAGCTAGCAGTTCAAAAGCATGCAAATGCAAGTAGATAAATAGGTACCACTTTGATGGGAAGGTAACAGTTCTCCATGATGTCATGCTGGCCACACAACTATGGAACTGCCAAGGCTAAATGGCCTTGAAATGGAAATGAGCACTTCCCCTAAAGTTGACAACAACTAGTAGAGTGAAATCCGTAGGGATTTCTTTACCTTTACCTTTTCTCTGTATATAGTATTATATTTATTACAGGGGATACTTTTTTGGACCTATTTACTGAGTGGTTCACTTTAGTTCACTTTAGCGTGTTGTTTTCTCCTTATTGAGCAAAGCTAATCGGGTGAATAATGGTTGTACCAAACTGATGACCACTTTATGTTACTGCAAGAGTAGTATAACTTTTACATAGTTTTATATGGTATATAGTTTTAAATAGATATCATATAAAACTTTTACATAGATTTATAGTATCGCTTTAGAAATCAATTATTAAACAGTATGTGGTTTGTAAAGATTCAGTTCAAGGAATCTGATGTTATGGCCGGCCTTCAGGTTTTCAGAGAAACTACTGCTGATACCTGCATGTTCTTATTTTATTACAGTAGACACTCCTGACCCCTATGTGGAGCTCTTTATTCCCACAGCACCAGACAGCAGAAAGAAAACAAAGTATATCAACAACAATGTGAATCCCGAGTGGAATGAAACTTTTGAAATAATTTTGGATCCCAACCAGGAAAATATTCTGGAGGTACTAGTACAAATATTTATAGGGAAAAGGACTCATGTGGTGTGGATACTATATTAAAAATATTAAATGCAGCATCAAAAGAGGCCGTGTGTGCTAAATCAGAGATCTCCAACCTTTCCGGGCTCGAGGATCGGAGGGAAGGAGAGCAGCTTCAAAATTGGTGTGTGTGTGTGTGCGCGCGCATGGGCCCACACACACTGGCGCAGCACTAGCAGCCCCGTTTGCACATGTGGCATGCTCTGGCGCCGTGCTCATGTGTGAACAGCCGTGCACCCCCCACAGAGGCTAGCGGCACATGCACAAATGGGCTGCAGACACCTGCCCTGCGCTAGCATTCCCGTTCGCGCCCATGTGCATGTACAAACAGGGCTGCGGGTGCTAGCGCAATTGGGGGAAATGCGTGCCCATGCGTGCATGCACCGGCCAGCCATTTCCACGGGCCACTGGCCAAGACCCCATGGCCCGGTCCTGGGCCGCGGACCATGGGAACCCCTGTGCTAAATACCCTAGGTTACAGAGGTAGTGTGTTTAGATTTTGCTCTATGACTTTCTATTATAAATGAAAGCTTCCTTAATGAAACATTTCCACATAAAAATTCATGTGTATACACATTGAGTATCAGTCTAAGGCCTGATATTTACTTTTCTACATGGCATAAATTTGTACTTAGTCACATTAATCTCCTCTTTATTTATCTGTCTCTCGTCCATCCATCCATCCATCCATCCATCTGTCATATTTCTAAACCACCAGTATCCCTTGCAGAGGGACTCCTTCAGTCTAAAGTTACAGTATATAGTCCAAATTTCAAGCAAACGTAGACCTAGAGTGTAAAGAGAAAAAGTCATTTGAAAAATGGAAAAAAAGAAATTAAACTGGGCAATCTAAGAGGTTTAAGTTGGACAGCATGTTTTCTCAGCACCTTTTCTACCATTGTGAAATAACACTGACCAAAATGATGAGTATAAGATGACAAGATAAGACGATCTTGTGAACAGAGATTTGGGGACTTAGTAGTCTAAGCCCATCCCTCTTTTGATAAAATACTTTTACAAGTATAAAATATTATGAGAAACAATAGGCATCACAGAGCTAAGATTCACACACACACACACACACACACACACACACACACACACACACAGAGAGAGAGAGAGAGAGAGAGAGAGAGAGAGAGAGAGAGGTGTATACATATAAAATATATAGGTTATCTAGAATATAATATAGACCAGAATGAGAAAGTTTCAATATGAATTTCTCATTTCAAAAATAAACGCTTTGTTGCAGCTGATCTATATCTTCTGAATGTCAGTCTAGCTTGAAATGGGCTTTCTAATATTACTTATTTCTCCCTTTCTAAATAAATGAGCCCCTTTGAGAAAGGATAAAAGACAAATCAGTAGGAAGGAGAGTGTTTAAAAGAGAGGCAAAATCTTGACCTCAGGAATAATTTTGCCACAGAATAGGAGGTTTTGTTTGCTTTCTGAACAGAATAATAAGTTGTTATCTCCTGCCTTTAGTATAGAAAATGAGAAGTTGGTATTTTTACAATATATCACCAAAATATCATATGACCATCAGGAATAAATATCAGTTTGGCCAACCTAATTTATGACTAATAGGTATACAACTAGGTCCATTCATTCTGAAGAACTGGTTGCTATCCTAATGTAAGTAATTTTAGTACGAATAATTTGTAAAAATACAAATCATTTTTTCAAAGCTATCATTTGGATAATCCGTCAGTGTAATTGTTTTGCCATATCTGGTAAAGGTTTACAGATCTTCCAATTAAAAAAGTAAAAATATTTAACCAATATTGCTTTGTTGACCTGAAGTGAAAGAAGGTGGTAATGAAATGTGTGTTTGGATCTTTAATCAATACAATGTATGTTGAAAATTGACTTAAAATTATGTGTACTAAGCATGTTTGCTTCATTTTCAAAAAGTCTTGTTTACATTTATGTAGGATATGAAAAGGTTCAGTTTAAGTGTGTATCTTTTTTCAGATTACTCTTATGGATGCAAATTATGTGATGGATGAGACTATTGGTACAGCAACTTTTCCCATTTCATCTTTGAAAATTGGGGAGAAGAAACAAGTTCCATTTATCATTAATAGAGTAAGTTCCAAAATTAACATGCCAGTTTCACTGTTGTTGGTCTCAAAATGGTCACTTTCCAAGGTTATAAGCAGAGGATCTAGAATCTAGTAGTATAGAAATGATGTTCTTTAGTTCTCTTAAAACATTTCTGGTACTGAAAATGATGTGATCTGTTGAAAATACAAAGATTACAAATGATGACTGATGTACTGAGGACATGAGTCAAACCACATCTTTTATTTTACTCTTTGAAGCTTTTTTAAGGTTGCTAATCTTAGTATTTTTTAATAAAGGATTTACCTGGCTAAAGCCACTGCTATAGGTATTTCTTAAAATAAAATTTATTTTGTAGTCCAATTTGCACAGCTGCATGCACAACACACATTGATATCTGCAGTTGTGTTGAACCATCCCTGAGAAGCCATAAGCCATGTTTTAGTGTACTTACATTTTGCTATCCCACATTTTAATCCTTCATTTGTAGTGTCAGGACCTGAGCCATGTTCATGTATTAATTGAACAGCATCTAGTTTTTTCATAACTGAATTGTTGAATCTGGTATTTGCTCCAGTTTGGATAATAGCCATACTTTGAAAAATGAATTTGATTTGAAAACATACCTGTCAAGTTTTTCTATTCTCTGGTCTTGATATTTTTCATGAGTCTAGATTTTAATTCCTTTTTTTGATATGGATGGAATGTGTAACTTTCAGTTTTTCTTCTCAGTTCCTCTCAGTAATGCATTTCAAAATCACTTCCCAGATAAAATTGTTCTGATTACTTATGAAATATGGCAGTATTATTTATTATAGGTAACAACATTGCAAAAAAAAATCACATTACATTGGTTATAAGATGATAAAACGCTGAGAAACTGCAGTATAATTCCATTTCATTTTTTTTACTGTTAGTCGTATATTATTCCTTTTCTTAGGAAAATCTATTGATTTTTTATGTCTTCCAGAAAATATATGATGTAGCACTCTCCTCTCTTTTCCCCTCCCCTCCCTTCGCATCCCCTCCCTTCTCCTCTCCTCTCCTTAACATGAAATTATTGCTGCAGTCTTTGTGATTCAAATGGTGGATAAATATGAGATAGTATCAACTGTATTGATAATATATTGAGACCAAGGAAATATATTTATATGTTTATTTTTAAAAATAGTTCATACCACTTCTTGATTTAAGTAAAATAAAAGTATGAAATATAAATAACAATTTGTTTGGGGGAAAAATGTAGTGGCTTAAAAAAAAAGCCTTAAAAGCCTGGAAAGTTAGAAAAAAAATCTGCTCTAATATAAACTGGTAGCAGTATTAATGTTAGGTGAGACTCCTTTGTTTATAAGACAATAGATCAAAAATTTGTTGATAAAAATTGTGATACAATTATAACATTGCTTGTTTAGGTTACAGAAGTCATATTGGAGGTATCTCTTGAAGTTTGGTAAGTAATCTTGGTATTCACCAAGTGTAATTGCAGAAATGATAGCATGTCTTCCTTTTTTGTGCAGTTATGATATATAAACTGTATCACAAAGACTATTGGACTACAATGACATAGGATTGAGAATTCATTAAGATCAGCAATGGATGCTCTCCAGTGTTGCCTTACTGATCTCAAAGTAGGACATTGCTGTAGTTTAGTCCTACGTATATTTATTTGGCAGTCCTGTATTTTGCCTTATCTGTATTTATGTTCCATTGAATTTGACTGGCCCTTCTTCTATGTATCCACAAGCATGATTAAAGCTGTCTTGGTACTATAATTTGGCCTAAAGCCTGATGGCAGTGGATCCAGACAATTCACTTCCTCTAAGCCTTTTGGAACTGCAAGCCTACTACCATATTTAAAAATGAAACACTTTAAATATTATTAAACCGTTATTTAAGTGGCATTACAGAGAGTCCATGCTTGACCAGGACTTTATTGGCATAGATTAAATTGTTTAAGAAGGAATTTTAGGACTAAAGCTGTGTTTTGCTCAACAGCTCTTCAACAGACCTCCGTTTCAGCATGGCTCTGTGTGATGAAGAGAAGCACTTCCGACAGCAGCGGAAAACTAGAGTAATGCATCATCTGAATAAGTTATTGGGAGCTGATTTGGCTTCCATTCGTGATGTAAGTGTGGATGGCTTATAACCAGCAGTCTTTAGTTTGACCCCAGAATGATCCAAAGCTACATTGCGTTAGATTTTTTTTACCTTTCAACTCTATATAAATTTTTGTTTCCATGTACTTTTATCAGCAATCCACTTGATGTTCTCCAAACCTGGAATACTTGCTAAAATTATCATATCATTTTGTTTCAGTTGAAGACTTTGGCTTTTAACCTTAAGTAAAACGCTTTAAACTTTCTTATCAAGTTCTGAACTTAATGCTATGCATGATTGCTAAGACTTCATTTGCTTTTCTAACTAGATAATTCTAGTTTTAACTAATTTAGTTAGAATTAGTTATTCTAGTATTAACTAAATATAACTGCTTGTTGTTGTTTTTTTTAAAAAAACTCTAGTCTTTAATAACTTTAATGGATTTGTTTGAGCTGAAATTATGAAAACTTATTGCAACATTTGGTTGACCTGTGAGACGTGCCATCTTGATATGTGGGAAAATGGGAACTGGAAAGGACAGGGAGATATACACAGTGTTCTTATTTTTCTAAACATTTCTCATTGCTTAAAATGTCCAAATATGAACTTTTGTGTTGTTAAACGATCCAGAAATGTTTTTGGTCAGCACAGCAAACAAATTAGTCAAGCAAATAATTAGTTTTCTCTATATTGAAAATCTTAAAGTAAAATTAGAGATTATTTCTAAATTTTCATGCATAAGGCAGAGAGAGACAGTAACTACAAGTGACATGCTAACACATGTCATTTGTAGGGATAGTAAAGGTGTTTACAGATTAGAAATTTTTAGTCTATTGTTTTCTTATTACAAAAACCTCAAAGCTGATCTTCCCGAAGAGTATTAAATACAGATTAGCTCTTGCAAATATGTGTTCAAACCTGGATGAAGAGAGATATAAACCATGGGTTGTGTTCAGGGAATGAACAAATGATTTTTTGGGTGGGTGGGTTTTCTGTTACATTGTGCTATTCGTGTTATGTTGCCATGAATATATAATGTCTTGCTCGTGTTGTTGCATGATAAATACCTTAGAAAGCATCTATGTTGTATGTTTTCCCAGGTGCCAGTGATAGCAGTCTTGGGATCTGGAGGTGGATTTCGGGCAACTGTAGGATTTTCTGGAGTAATGAAAGCACTGTATGAATCTGGAATTTTAGACTGTGCAACATATATTGGTGGTTTATCTGGATCCACATGGCAAGTTTGCTTTTTTTAAAAAAAACTTTTCAAGTTTTAATAGACAATACTTTACTCTTATTATGCATATTTCTTTATCCCTTGATTCTATAAACAAATTGCCGAAATCTTTAAAAAAGTTAAATCAGCTTTTAGTTAGTGGTTCTATTTCTAATTCTTTGGTTTGGTGTTTTAAAAATCTTTCTGAGTTAATAAAAGCTTGCAACTTAGGTTTTTAATGTTCTGATTACACTTTTTGAGAAAATTGATATCTATAAAAACAAATTTGCCCTAAACTTATACTTACAGTGTATGGTTCACTAATCAGCTGAAATTGTCTGCAACAAAACTTCAGTTTAGCTCAAGGCTGCTATAAATGTACTGAAATTAAAATATCACTTAATAACATGAAAGCAACTATGCTGTTTATTACGACTGCATCCTTAAAATAATTGGATTTGATTGATTTCTAAACAAGTAGTTCTTAGAGCATAAAGTAAAGCAAATTCACAGTCCCTTGAAGATAGCTTTCCCAGTGCTTGGTGGGATAGCTCTAGAGCAGGGGTGTCAAATTGCTGGCCTGCAGGCTGGTTGCATCCTGTGGAGGCTGCAGCGCCAATTCCAGCGCCGGCAATGCAAAAAAAGTCATGTTACATCGTGACATGTCACGTGATGCGGTGACTTTGACACCCGTGCTCTCTTACTGCTTGAAGAAAGATTGAGTCTTCTGGTAGCTTAGGTCATATTGTCAAAATTTAAAAAAGACCCCAGAGAGCCACAGCAAGCATCTGAGTTCTGGGCTAGGAGGGCAAGTAAAAATAGACTAAACAACTAAAACAACTTTATAATATTACTTTGTTTTCTTTTTTGGAATATTTTATTATTTTATATTGATAGCTAATGTAAGTGATGAAGAGTCAGTTGTCACAATGGAATACATTCAATAAGCAAACAATATTTTCCTGTTGTAAAAGCTAGAAAGGTTGCAGTGCTAGATGAAATTTTATCAGTTTTTCAGAATAAATTTAGTCAAAATGAGGTTTAAAAATGGCATAATTACTGTCAGATTTATTTTGAGGATCAATAAATATAATTTAAAATGATTAAATTAGAATTCTTAAACTGAAGTATTCTCCTCTATTAAAGACTATGTTTTGGTAGCATGTTATCTTAAACACGGAGATTAGAGAAATACATATTCTGTTTCCCACTTAATCAGGGGACTGAGTATAAGCAATTAGAATTTTATTCAATATTATGTGTTATGGATATAAGTTATTTAGATAAATGTAAAGATGCAAAGCTTTGTAATTTACAAAATGATAGCTTGATTTTTCCCAAGGTTCACCAGTGTTTTGTCTCTTTTCTCCTCCCCTCCCCTTTTCTCATATTTTTTATTAAAAAAAATTACATGGCTTCCCAATGCCCTCTTGGTGACTCCGGGCAGCTTACAAGGATAAAACATCAGTTCAAAAACCAAAAAATTTCCACACACACCCTGGTGATAATAATCAGATTAGCCACTTGATGGGTTTCATATCATTCTGGGGTCCCCAGGCGCACTGGCAGAAGAACCATGTCTTCAGGGCTGTGCAAAAGGGTGTCAAAGCGGGGGCCAATCTTATCTCTGCAGGAAAGATGTTCCACAGGGAAGGCCCTTGTTCTTGTTCCTGCTAGATGGACCTTCTTAAGAAGGTCCCATAGCATTCCCAGCTTCCCCATTATGGTGGGTTGGGTGGATATGACTGCTAATATGGTTCTTCAAATAACTTTGTCTCAAGCCATGTAGAGCTTTGAAGATGACAACCAGCACCTTGAATTGGACCCAGAAGCAATTCAGCAACTGATTCTCCCACAAGAGAAGTAACACGTGCAAATCTAGGCTTACCAAAACCGACCTGGGCCACCACATTTTGAATCAATTAAACCTTCTGGGTACTTTTCAAGGGCTGCTGCATATAAAACACATTGAAATAGTCAAGATAGGACTTAGGGTGAGGGGAACTGTGAGTAGGAATTGTTGGTCCAGAAAAGGGCATAACTGATGCATAACCCACAGTTGTACAAAGTCCCCCCTAACCCTGACTGCCACCTGTTCTTTAAGCAGGATTTGTGAGTAGAGGAGAGCACCCCCTCTTATATTCATCACTATTATTGGTTGAAGATCTTGTGACCGTCTTTGGTCCATTTTATGTGCACTAAAAATATTGTTTTGGTCTGTTCATAGGTACATGTCAACCCTGTATTCTCATCCAGACTTCCCAGCAAAAGGGCCAAAGGATATAAATGTTGAGTTGATGAACAGTATTAGTCACACCCCACTGAAACTACTTACACCCCAGAAAGTGAAGCGATACATTGAAGTACTGTGGAAAAAGAAAAGAGCTGGGCAGCCTGTGACATTTACAGATATCTTCGGAATGCTGATAGGAGAAACACTGATTCAAAACGTAAGCATTGGTCAAAACATTTAGGGAAGCTGTTTAAATCTTAGGTGCATAATATTTAGCAACATCATCGTGGCTTGCTTTCTTCCCTTGATTTCCTCATTCAGTTCTCTATAGAGATGTGTGTACAGGTAACCCCCTAGGTACTACTTACATTAGAAATTCAAAACTGCAACCAAAAACAGGCCTCTGACTTGATTTCAGTCTCTACTGCAACTGTTTGCAAGCAGTTTGGGAACTGCTCTGCTTTTTAAGTACTATTGTGTTTGCAAACTATTGAGCTTTTATTTTGGAAACTAGGATATATTACTGTAGTTTGTAGGTTTTAAATTTAAATTGCCTACAGAAGTTGTGGGTGGAAGCTTTAAAGAAGAGACTGGATAGGCATTTATCAGAAATACTCTCTTGTGAGAGAAGTGGGTTAGACTAGCTGACCTCAAGGTCCCTTCCATCTCTGTTACTATTGCAAGCTGAGAGTTCTGCAAGTCCCTCCCCCATCTCCCTCTGGGTGCCTGGCTGGCTCTTAAGCCAGTGATTTTTATTAAAGCAACAGTCCCACCCCGTCTCTGGGCAGCTGAAGACGCTTGAGCTGGCTAGCAGCAGTTTTTGTTTTTTTAAAATAACTGGTGGCTTGCAAGCCCTGCTTGGAGGCAATTTAGTTTCTGAACCAGCTCACCAGAAATAGCTGATCGGCAGCTGGTGGGAAACCCTCCCAGTTCAGTTAACATGGCAGCTATCGGAGGAAATAGTAAGTCAAATCTTCTTTCATTTAACAACACATTTGATTTAATTAATGAATTTGATTTTAAAAATTTGTAAAATTAAGTCTGATTCATTTGATGAGTTTTTTGTTTTTTTTTACTTCTGAGCCTAATGGCCAGGCTCCATTAGGTTCGTACCTCGGGGACTACCTTTATATGCATGTGAAAATACAGCTTGATGCATTAGAACTGCTGACTTTGTAGCAGAAACTGTAGATAACAATGAGAAAACTTCACTAATCATAATTAAACTAATGGTTTGAATTCTAATTATAACTACAACATAATCTAATGTAAATGTGAGTTGGGCTCTGCCTTTTGGTTACTCAGAAAGCAGCAATAGCTGCCCAATACTTCTACTGTATTACCACCTTATCATAAATATACTCATTCAAATGTCAAAAACTTTCATAAAACATAATAGGGAAATCTAAGTTAGGTCCATAAACATTAACTTTAACTAGTATAGTCTCCATTATTTTAGCACATAAAATTAAATAACACCCATTTACATCAGCGATATAATCTGTTGTACATCAGTTGAAAATCCTTTGAGTTTTCTAATATATACTTTGAGTTCCCTAATATATGAATACTATATTCACTATTTTTAAATTTTATTATAATTAGTATTATTTATTATAAAAATTATAGATAACAGGCACATAAGTTGCTCAGAGTTTCAAAGAGTAGTTTATAAGTCCAATAAACAGACCCAGTTATCACCAAGTCCTGATTTTTGACCAGGCTAATCAGTAGTAAGAAGTCTTTCTTAGTTTTTATTACAAGATTATTAATTCATAATTTCCCTGTAGATAATTCTGTTATAGTTTGGTGTGTGTTCACCTGGTTATGACCATAATGAAGTAATCTGAACTGAAATAACCTTTTTTGTATTTTTAAAAATATAAAATTCTGAGGGAGATGGGTGATTAAGAAATATGAAATATAAAATACATCAGCTCCTGTTCAAATATTAAACTTCTTCTGTCTTCTTCTTTTTTTGTGTGCAGAGAATGGATATCACTTTATCTCATATGAGGGAAAAAATCAACAAAGCGCAGTCAGCTTTGCCACTTTTTACCTGTCTTCATGTTAAACCTGATGTGTCAGAACTGATGTTTGCAGGTCAGTGTTCTCACTATCTGGGTTAAGTCAACCTTGCTATTTATTTATTTAAGACCATCCTATTCAAGAATGAATCTGGGTGACTTATAAAAGAAACAGTGGTAGAGAGGAAACAAAAACATGAATGTCCAGACAAGATAAATTACCCAAAACACACCCATCAGGGACTCAACAACCACCCTACTTCAGAGCTTGGGAGAAGAATCTCAGTTTTAAGGACTTCTAGAACCTCATTTTTTTGAGGGAGGTCATGTATCTTTAGAGAGATGCTATTCCAGAGGGAAGGCACAGCAACCAAGAAGTTGGGTATGTATGTTGGGTCCTAATAGATGGTACTGCTTAATATATAATATTTAGGTAACATACCAACAATGTATGTCTGACCAGATAATCAGAGACCATGGAAGATGGGCCTCAGATAATGTGGCCTTATTTATAGGTAATAACTAGCATCTTGAATTACTTCTGGAAACTCACTGGCTACTAGTACAACTTGGGCAGGAATGGTAATCACACAGGTTTATGTCGATCACTTCCTGTGCTACTGCATTTTGGATCACTTGTGATTTCCAGATGATCTTCAATGTCACATAGGGCGCATTGCATGATGTGATGAAGATATGAGTAACCAAATGAAGGGCCTCTTAATGCAGGAATGGACACAACTGACACACAGGATGGAACGTTTGGTGGAATCACTGGCTAAACTAGAGGGAGGAATAAAAAGGTGTTCCAGCTTGGAGTCACTCCGTGGGAGGAAGCAGCAGAGGCCAGACTACTGAAGCCTTTATCTGCTGGTTCCCAAGAAAATACAAGTCTGGCGAGATTCTTGTAACTAGATGATCAAGATGAACAATAAAGAAACTACTTTGACCTATTCACAAAGCTGGTCTAGTTTCTTGCACAGAGGACCTCTACATCTGCCACCTTCTGTTCATCCAAGATGATTCCCAGGTTGTACACCCGTTTTGAATGAAGGGTAGCCTGCTCCAAAACTAAAGATGAATGGTCCTCAGATATAGAGCCCCTCAAAATTCACTTAATCTGTTTCTCCTTATCCAAACCAAGCACCATGACAGGACACCGATAGTGGCACAGAGTAAAATTGTATATAACTGGGAATCATTAGCACATTGATGATCTTACCTGGTAGCTTCATAGAAAGAAAGGTAAAGAAATTTGAATCACAAAACATAGGAAAATAAAAGAAACACCATAAAGCTTGATTTTTAGTGTCTCCACTCCAAAAAGAAGAAATTAGAATGACAAAGAGCTAAAATTAAAGACAGACGGAGAAAAAGAGTTTGAGACTACAAGTGATGTTTTTGGTCTGGATTGATTGAAAGAATTGGTGCTTGCTTGATGGCTGTATCAGTATACTGCTCTTTTTAGTCTGTCTCAGACACATATAAGTCACACAGTGAGACTTCTTTAGGTAATAATTATGAATCAGGTAGGTCCTCTGTGTTTTACTCAGCTGCTTTTTAATGATGTAAATAAACCAGCGTAAACTTTCTCTTGATTGCTAAAACCAAAGTTCTGCTTCCTTTGTGCATGTGCTACACATAGGTAAGTAAGTAGGTTTAGAGAGACATGGTGGCACTGTGGTTAAAATGTAGTATTGCCGGCTAATTCTGCTAACTGCTAGCAGTTCGATTTTTACTGGCTCAAGGTTGACTCAGCCTTCCATCCTCCCAAGGTTGGTAAAATGATGACCCAGATTGTTGGGGGCAATATACTGATTCTGTAAGAGAGGGCTGCAAAGCATTATGAAGCGGTATATAAGTCTAAGTGCTATTGCTGTTGCTATTGTTCAAACAAAGCAATCCATGCTACATGTAGACTATATGAAATAGAATGACTCTGATAGGTTTCTTTCAGAGAAAATTCATGTAAATTCCAGGAGTTGGAGGTGGGTTGGAATGATGATTTGTATTAATACAATAATATTGTATTACATTTCTGTTAATAAAGTCACTGAACTGGTAGAATTGCTTAATATTTGTTGTCTATTGTGTATTAGGTGGCAGCTTAGTATGAATTTCGACTTTGTGATGCTGCAGTTGATCGATGGGACTTAGTTCACTGTGGGTTGGTTCCCAGCTCTATTTTTACTTTTTTCATCATGGACCAATTTATTTATGGTATAGATCAAAGTCCTGTATACAGTAAAGCAAAACACATAAGCGAAACTGCAATGTTAAATTAGTAAAAAAAGATAGCTAATATCTCTCCACACAGAAACAATCAAATCCATATACTACCCAAACTCTCGTGTCTGTTTGACACTTTACAACCTTCAATTGTGTGAAATGCTGCATCATAGGGCAAAAGTTGGTCAACTGGAACCAAGATCTTTCTTGACCCAAACTATTGCAATAAATAAATCACATGATATATTCATGTAATTACATCAGATGAGTTCATCTTGAGGGAAATTTGACTATATTAGTTTACATGTTCATATATGTATATTGGGAGGAGAAAGATGTGAGAAAAATCAGAAGTCTGAACCAGTGGAAAACTTCTGTTTTAAGCACTGCCTTTGTAGTAGGTTAACTCATTCCTCATTTCTCTGTCTGCTCTAACCATTGTTTATTGCTGCTTTTAGATTGGGTGGAGTTCAGTCCCTATGAGATTGGAATGGCTAAATATGGGACCTTCATGACTCCCAATCTGTTTGGCAGCAAGTTTTTTATGGGCACAGTAGTGAAAAACTACAAAGAGAACCCTCTGCATTTCTTAATGGGTAAGTACTAGATTAAATAATCTCAGAAAGTAAATAATGTCCAAACATTATTCTTATTTTTTTTAAATAGTAACTTTGTTTTCTGAAAATCCAAGAACAAAAGGATAGAAATTTTCTAGCAAATATAGTGTAATGGCAATAATAATGTATACCTTTTATCTATTTGGTATGGTGGTTCCTTAAATGATATATAATTCTTTTAACAAATTCTGCTGGACAGATTCTGTTGGATAAGCCCAGGTTTTCATCACATTGTTGAAAGTGCCTAAAGGCTTAGAAAAAAGCTCGTCAACAAGAACCAAGCTAAGCTTCCAGTTGCTTTTTTTACTGTGTAGTATTACAGAATTTTAGAAGATTCAAATATGTCAGAATTATAGCAAAAATAATCTTCTATATCACTCCTAGGAATGTTTGGTATGGGCAAAAAAAAGATCTGGTTGACTTTTTTCTTCATATAGTAGAACATATAGTACCATTACTGTATCAGATCTAGAATATATATATTTCTCTGCTACCATCTAGTGTTATAGACATTTGCAGCCCAAATATGGTAGCTTAACACAGAGTTAAAGTATGTGTGAATTGTTCTGGACTTTTCTAGTCCTATGAGTGAATCTTACAATTTAACTGTAACTGGTCTTACAGTCAGATGGACAGAAAGTTTCTATCCAGTGTAAGGCTTCATAGTTTGTGTTCTTCTTCACTCTGTTCCTGAGATTCCTTTTACAGTAGTGTAATAATAGTTAATTTTTTTAATTTAATTTTTATTTTTATTAAAATTTTTATAAAAGTTTTACAATATAATTCCCCCCCTCCCCAAAACCCACCCTTCCACTCCCCCCTCCCTCCCCCCCACTTCCCAGAGCCAATCACAGGGTTAACAATACATTAATCATACTCTATCTAACATTAATCAACTATTAAAATAACAAATCTATAACATCCTTTAACTCTCTTTTAAACAAATATACTAGTATTAAACACAATAATTATAACATCATATTAATAATTAGAAATAAAAATAAGTAAACTATTATAACATATAAACTACATTAATACT